ACAATTTTAGGGTTGGAAATATCTTTTTCTCGTTATTTGGCCTGAAATGTGTATTTGCAATTTTATCACAAAATGTCCCTAGGTTGAGTCAGTGTCCTCATGTTGGGCCTTATTTATTGATTTTTTTCTGGGAAAATAAGTGTCCCTATGTCGAATTGTCCGCATGTGGGGGTCTCACTGTCTATAGTCAAGCAGGAACCAATTAATTCTCAAATCACCATCATCCAATGACAGTGAGCAGCATGCGATGCACTTTGTGTCTGTCATAAAAGGCGTCCTTGTTATTCTTCCCTTTCCCGTCACTATTATTATTATTATTATTCCCACCACCACTATTATTATTGTTCTCCCGTCGCCAAGCCAGCAACTCCTCGTAAGCTCGCTGATCCATCTCGTCATCCAGCGGGGAATTGGCGTCCGCAATCGCAGCATCCTCTTCGTGCCTCTTGACGGCCGTCTTCGCGTCGAAGTTCTCGTCCTCGGCGTAAAACGGCGTCGGGTGCACGGAATCCGCGTCGTCCGCGTGCTCCTCCACCGGGATCTGGTTGTGGCCAAAAAAGTAGCCCTGCGGCCGGGGCCTCTTGAAATTGATGTGCATCGAGTACAAGACCGAGTGGTAATTAGAGTCCATGCCGTTGAGCAGATAGCCAACGAGGAAATGCGCCCCGGGGAACTCGATTCGCGGCACCGAATGATAATGATAATCCGCGCCGTAGAGTTCCGCCGTCGGGTACTCGAGTCCGCGATTATTCTTGTGATCGTACTTCTTCACAGTCGGTTGTTGTTGTTGTTGTTGCTGCTTCGTTTCCACCACGACGACGCGTTCGACGAGGGTCTGCGTCACCGGCGATTCTTGCTCCACGACGGACACGTAGTCGAAGAAGCGAAACACTTGGGCGGATACTGCGAAAACGGTGGCGTTGGTGGGGAAGGAGCGGAGGAGGGCCGAGGACAGGCCACGGGTGAACACGCGCCAGCCTTCTTCTTGGTAGGACTGGATGGCGCAGTCGAGGGAGGAGGTGTACTTTTTCGGGCCGAGGAACCCGTCGGTTTGCATCCGGCTCTTGATGAGGTCCAGCGGGTACGTGAGGAGCCAGGACATGGCCCCGCCTGTCCCGCCGGCCAGGGACAGCTTCCACACGCTCGACTGAAACGCAAAAAAACATGAAATGAAAAAATTTCAATGATTAGAAAAATTTGAATACAGTAATACATGCAAGAAAAAAATTTTTTGCAGTGCCACAATTCTGAGCATTTTATTTTTAAAATAAAAACAATTCCCACGGAGGAGTATAATATAAAATGAAAATGAATACAAAATGATTAAATCAGAACTACATTTTCTTCATCAGTAACTTTCATATAAATACCCTGGCAAAATAGAGAAAGTTTTAGAAGATTTGTATCCATGCAATGAAAAAAAAAACTATGAAATCTACTTTTTGAAAAAAGTATTTCAGCACCTTTGAAAAAGATCAAAGCATTTTATTTTTTAAATTAAAAACAATTCCCATGGAGGAGTGGAATATAAAATGAAAATGAATACAAAATTATTCAATCAGAACTACATTTTTTTATCAGTAACTTTCATATAAATACCCAGGCAAAAGAGAGAAAGTTTTGGGAGATTTGAATCCATGCAATGAAAAAAAAAAACCTATGAAATCTACTTTTTAAGGAAGTATTTCAGGACTTTCAAAACAGTTTCAAATTAAAAACAAAATTCCCATGGAGGAGTGGAATATAAAGTAAAAATGAATACAAAATGATTCAATCAGTACTAAATTTTTTTCATCAGTAACATTCATATAAATACCCTGGCAAAAGAGAGAAAGTTTTGGGAGATTTTAATCCATGCAATGAAAAAAAACCTATGAAATCTAGCTTTAAGAAAAGTATTTCAGGACTTTCAAAAAATTGGTTATAATGTACTGAATAAATGGTTACCATAGGATTTTGAAAATTAATGATTGAAAATTTTTTTCACATCAGACCTGCCTATAACGAATCAGAAATTGCCAGTCTGAACAAAAAAATTGGCTTTGATCATGCAGTTCATGAGTTGCACCAATCTTTTCTTTGAGGGATGATGATGTTTAGAACCACTGGGTATGAAATGCCTATGCTGAAGAAAAAAACCCCCTCAACATAAATTTCGAATATTTCTAAATTTACATTCTTGAAAAATTGCGCCTCTCGCTGCATGACATCTTATTTCATTAAAACACTTTATAAATGAAGTGGGTGCTTTTCTGAAGAAATTTAACCATTTTTGCACAACAGAAACTGAAGTGAAACTCAAACAAAACTTTGAAAAGCACTGCTTTTTTCCTAGTCAGAACAATTGTGAAAAATCCTATTCATTCTGTGAATTTACATGAATATCACACATTAAGAGAAAACTTGCACTTCCACTTCTTTCTACAGGCTTTCTCTCTTACATAACAGACTCAGTGACGTATCAATTTTATAAACAAGCTCATTTTGCCAGCATATGCAAAAAAAACCCTCAACTGAACCCTTCCTTTCATACCAAAAGAAAAAAATCCAGATTCTGACTGTATATATTAGGATATTACGTGGGAATCGCAGTAGATATGAGAACAAACGAGAAACTACGTAGTTGATGAAGGAAGGATATCTCATGTCATGTCACACCCTTAAAGGAAACGTTCTATTGATAGCTCTGATTGAGGCCAAATTGCGCTTCATTCAAGTTTGACATTACTCAATCTTCTCTTGGAGACACTGATGAACTGATTTTATTGTCGCTTCTAATAATAATTTCTGCAGCAGAGGCTACATTAAAAAAAAAATCAATACGACTTCACGCAAGAAAAGATGACAGGATATCATAAATTTCATGCAATCTTGTTACAAAAAACAGGGAAAATTTTTAAATATGACAAACGTTTTCTCAATTCCCAGCAAAACGCTCATGTTGAAACTATCTCATTATAACAAACTTTTTTCCAGGAATGCTTTTTGAGATTCCCCAGGTGGAAATTTCCTGACAAAGGCAGGCAGTCTGAAATTTCTGATTCCAAATGTAACTGACTAAAGGAGCTTTGAATCAATGACAAACATGATTCCAAGTGGTTCCACACATCATCATCACAGAATGAAAAGATTGGTGCAATTGACGGAATGAGAGATTGAAGCTAATTTGTTGATCAGAAGATCACTCAATTTTTCAAACAAGTATGAAAAAAAACTCTGAAAATGCCAGAAAAATAATATTAAATTGAATATATGCAGACCTGATGTGAAAGCTTTTTCAGTAATTAATTTTCAAAACCTCAAAAAAAACAATGTATTCAGTACACTAAAACAAACTTTTTCAACAAGCTTTCATTTTATTATTCATTCATTGCATTGATACTCATCATTCAAAACTATATATTTTTTTGCCAGGGTATTTCTGAAACTTATGAATAAGAATAAAGACTGATCAATTTTTCTGCAAAATTCCAGAAATTCAAGATCTAACCAATTATACGCTGTCCTCACTTGAATATTTTTTACAATCATTAATTTTGAAAATCTCATTACAACAAATTATTCAGTACAACAAACTTTTTCTCAAATCCCAAAAAAGTGTATATGGNAATCATAAAGAGAAAAATTTGTAAAAAAATAAACATTCTTTGTGGAATTACAGCACTTTTCACAGCAGAAAAAACCAAATTCCACATTAAATTGTATTCTAAGTTATATAAGTACAAAAGTTCACTTGACTCTAGCCTCAAACAGGATAAAACCAGAATTTCAAGATGCTGCAATTCATGAAAATCTTGTTACAACAAATCAATCATTACACCACACTTTTTCTCAAATCCATCATAAATGAAAATCATGTTCAATCGTCACCTGTCCAAATGAGTCAACAGACAGCATTCGACACATGAGCTCATACACAGAAAAGTAGATCCCACAGGCAGGAGCGTCCCTCACAAGAGTGATCCCCAGTCCCTTGAAAATACCCCTGCATATCCCGGCTTCTCGGTAAATTTGCCGGATACAGGCCACGATCCCACCTTCACTGTCGGCACTGCCTTGTTTCACGAAATTGGCCCAACCTTCTCCTTGGCCCTGTCAAGAGAAAAGAAAGAAGAAAAAAAAAACGGTGAGTTCTGGCATTTTTCTTCAAAACCTGGGAGAATAAAAAAAATCCTTCTAACGAGGTAATTATGGTACAGAAAGTTATTTTACATTTTCTGATATTGAGCATAATATTCTTGAAAAAAAAATAGCATTTGGCATTTTGCTATTGAATGGATTTTTGAGTGAATATTTCAATGCCTGGAGCAAAATTCTGAAGATTTTGAAGAAACACATTTGATGAAGAATTTACCATGAGGGAAAAAAGTAGTGAATTGGACTTTTCATTCAATCCCTGGACGCTTGAAACAATTTCTTGCAACGAGGTCATTGTTATGAAAAATCAGTTTGACTTTTCTAAAATTACAGAAAAAATTCTCAAATGACAACTTTTTGTGTGTAAAAATCATAACATTTTAAATCGAAGTAAGCATTCATCATTTTGCTAGTGAAATATTTTTAAAGCAAATTTTCTGATTAGCTTGAAACTTAATTTCAATAGCAAAATTATACAATTTTGCAAAACTAAAGCAAATTAGAAGATTAGGAAATAAGAGAATTTGCTCAAAATTATTTCATTGGCAAAAAGATGAATGCACAATTTCAGTGCAATGTTCTGATTAAAGAGTAACGAACTCTATTATGGACTTTCAGCTGGGACTTGAGAAAAAGTGTCATACACTGAAAATTCTGTTGTAGTGGTATTTGTTGTAAGAAGATTTTACTGAAGTAATTCATGGAATTTATCCTATTTTATCATTTTTGCAGAATTACGAATGAGTATTTTGAAACAAAATGATCTGATTTGGTCAAACACAAAAACTGTCGTCAAGAATATTATCCTCAATTTTAAAATATTCACAATAACTTTCCACACAACAATAATCTTGTTACAATGTCATTCAAGAATATTAACCTTCTGCCCAGAGAAAATTTGGGAGCAAAATTCTAAAAAAAAAAACACATGCAATTAAGTATCCTGAAAGTTTTACCCCAGTGCCTTTTTTGTTCTATATCCAGCATCACAGAAAAAATATTTGTCCAACATTTGATCTGTTGAAAAAAAAAACATTTTCACCTGAAAAAATTTGAGGTAATGAAACAGAAAATGATGCATAAAATTATTTTATTTTTTAAGAGTCACTGCAGAGAGAAATCAACTGCCATTTGAGTTTCCCCCTCCACCTTGGACACAGACTATAAGTCCACCTGCTTGGCAGGGTTTCAAAAAACAACCTTGAATCTGGTTTTCATGGCTGAGCAGAAAACCCTGAGATCAAACTGATGCAAGTGACCACAAATCTGTCATGTGAAACAATCTACTCTGAATGCTTGGCTCAGTAGCCAACTCATTCTTGACATGAGTTTGCAAGGCTGATTTTTTTTTGTGCAATTGACTGAGGTGGAATATAGGTCAGCATTGAAAATGTTCAAGATAAACAAATTTCCACTGTGAACTAACCTTTAGCAGATTTTCAACTTGCTGACTCAGAATAGACTTGCAGAATTACAGCTTTCTTTCAGAGCAGTAAAAAGAAAATTCAACATTGAATTATATCTGAAGTTATATAAGTACAAAAGTTCACTTGACTCTGGCTTAAAACATAATATAACTATAATTTCAAGATACTGCAATTCAGGACATATTTCAGAATTTGTTACTTTCTAAAGAAGAAAAATTATACTTGCATTTATGAGAATAATTTCTTGCCAAGAATCCTGCTAAAAAAAACAAGCAACAAATTACATTGACAGAAGAATTAATATCAAAATTACCTGCTTCACTTCATTAAAACACATAAACTAAATATTACATTGGATAACATAATCATCAGAAGCCAGAAAACTTTACTGGATGCAACAGAGGTTATATATGAATATTTAAGCCACAGTAATAATTGTAGGAAAAAAATTATTATTTACTCAAATGTGTTCCTGTATTCCAGGTAAGACCCCAAATTATTTTGTTTTCTGACTATCAAATGGCATGATGGCAATTTGTGAATGTTTTGGAATACTGTGCAGCAATGCAATAATTCAACTGCAAAATTGCCTTCAAAAGGGAATTATTTTCCAGGCAATGCAATTTTGCAAGGTACAATTACCTCAGATACATGAGGAAAATAGGTGTAATTTTCACTTGAAGAATTCATTTGCAACTCTTTTCATGAATGAAATCCTGTGCATTTTTCCAGCAATTTTATTCTCCTTCAAAACATCCAGAATATTTGAAACAATCTCTCAATGATGGGAGATTTTGTTGGGGCGTGTGAGAAAAAGGGATGTCGAACAGACAAACTCACAAAGCTGAAAAATGAGATATAGAATGGATGTGAAACAGAAAAAGGAGTGATTGAATTAAAGATATGAATCGAAGTTCTTTTTGCGAAAGTGAAGTGTTGAATTTATAAATAAGAACTCAATGAATCAGCCGGGCTGCGGCCGGGACAAAGTCCTAGTTTAACAAGTTGTATTTTTCTTGACGACAAACACTTGGTCAGAATTTTGGAATTCGGAGTTTTTGCGAGACAAAAAGCTTCTCTGCTCGGAGATCTGCTCAGGTTCACAATTCGAATGCGAGTGATGAAAATCATGCTGAATTTGGAAAACAGGAAAGGAGTTGCTGAAGGACGCGGATTAAGAAATCTATTCAGAAGATGTCCTTGCTGGGCCTGGGAATCGAACTCGGGTTTGGTTCCCAGGCTCCAGCAGAAGCTGTTAGAAATTTTCGGAAAAGACGATCGTTTTAAATTAATCTGGTGCCGAATTGTTGGCATGCCGAAGTTTTTTCCAACAGGGCGTTCACCTAACATGGAGCTTGAATCTTTGAAATGAAATATAAAATTAATTTGAAGCAAGATTTACCAATAAATTGATTGCATTCATTCATTTGAGCTTATCAACTGTTGTCAGAGAAGGAATGGCAAAAATTCCAAATATTGCAAATGTTTTTCACAATTCCTTTCCCAACCTACTCCTTGATTCCATGAGTCCAACAAACACAATTTGTCATTCATTTCCCAAAACCCCAAAAAACTTCTTCTCATTCTTTTCACCATCACAGACCCAAAGAACTCATGGGTAAGTCTTCACTTGAAGTGAATCCTTTGTTGTGAAAAATAACCCATCAAATTCTTAATTACTATATAATGAAGTGTCATGTACAGTAAAATCGTCTTAAAACTAAGCATCTGGCACCTAGAAGAAACATAGCTTTGTTACAGCATTTGCTGAGCAAAAAAAAATGTGAAAGAAATTGTGGCTGTTAGTCAATAGTCCTGCAAATATCTCCAGCATTCATTGCAAAAACAGTCTGCTTAATTTAGAGACCAATAAAAGCATACCAGAGACATGGTTCTGTATAGTATGAGGTGCCAGAAACAATCTTAACCACCTCAATAAAAACCAAGTGGAATATTAAGTGAAACTTGCAGCAAAGAGGAAATGAACTTGAAAATAAAAAACACAAGGTGTCCACATGATTAGTTTCTGTCTTCCTTGAGAGACCCAACACTTGATTTTCTCATTTCTTTTCCTTCCTCAAAGAAAAGAAGGAGAAGGAAAACTAAAAATGAGATTCTGTTCCTTTTTTGGGGTGCCCAGCCACACCATCAAGAGGGGAGAATCATCTCTTTTCTTGGAATAAAAAAAAACATACATATCTATGTATTCTTTTTTCTCCTTGTCTTCCCACAGCTCATGCCCTTCAGTACCTCTCCATCTCCCAATTTTCCACTCATTAAAACCGGATTTTCTTCTCTCCCTCTTCAAATTAGGAAAAAATGCTGCGCATGCCATAGAATTGAGGTAGGAAAACTAAGGCATGGAATTAACAAACTTGATTAGATGAAAGAAGAAGATAGTCCCACACTCATTAATTTTAAGCAGAGTTTTATTCCAGATTTGTTGATGAGTGGTTTTCTTCCTGCAATCAGGGACTGACTGCATTCAACCACAGAGACGCCATTTTTTTGGAAAAGGGGAGACAAGCAAAGACAGTTGTAATATCCAGAGATCATTCACCACAATTACTCAATTATTGTGTTCTTCTCTGAGCAGCTCTGATGAAAAATTGCCAAAAATGATCATCCTCTTTATCACAATCTCAAATGCTTTTTTGATAGCAGGAACAAAATATTGCCCTTGGATGATGGAGTAGAAAATGGGAGATTGCACAAGATGGCTTCTCCTGCCAAAATGTATCTTTAGTGGTCTTCCAGTAATGATAAAATGCCCTTTCCAATTGATGAACTGCCAACTGATGTCATGTCAGGTATTTCATGTAAGAAACATTTCAAAGTGTGAAAGTCTCCACATAGATTTCAATGGACACACATATCAATTGGTTCTCCTGTTTTGCAAAAATTCTCAAGGTCCCTCATAACTTGAATACAGCAAGACCCCACATGCAAACACCTCAACCTATGGACAATTCAACAAAGGGACACTTATTTTCCCAGAAAAAATTGATAAAAAAAGGCTGAACATGAAGACACTGACTTGACATAGGGACATTTTATGATGAAATTGCAAATACATTTCAGGCCAAATTACAAGAAACAAATATTTCCAACCCTACAATTTATGTATGAAAATTTCTGGGGCATTTCTATCACCAATTTACCATCACTGAAATATTGGAATCTATGAAAATAACATTCAAGTGAAAAAAGTAGAATGAGGGACTTCTACTTTTTTTCACTTGAATGTAATTTTCATAAATGCCAATATTTCAATGTTCTGAACAGAGATACACTATTCAATGCTCCAAAGGTTCTTATTGAGTTTAAAATGTATTCCCTAATCCAAATTCAAGTGGCAAACAATTTTTTTCAGAGAATTCTGAAGAATATTTTCCCAATAAAACACCAATTAAAAATTATATCATGTGAGTCTATGGGAAAACAAGACTCAACTTAGGGACACTCTTAATGCAGCAATTATGTCCACATCTTGGGGTCTCACTGTATAAGCTTTCTTCTCAACTTTGAGATACAGAAATAACTGTGCAGAATGCAGCTAAACATTATCTGATCTTTTGGCATCACAAGCAGCTCAAAAACAAATACAGCCTTACTGAGCAAAAATTACTGGAAAAAATTGGAATTTTTTCCATCATGAATGAGAGTGATTTTAAAATGCTATTCATTCAAATCAATACAAATAGCTTAATTTGTATGAGAGATATCAAAATTAAAACAAATTGATTTCTTGCAATTCTTCCCCTTAAAATGCTGGAAGCATGTCCATATCTTGAGACATTGTCCACATGTTGCGGCAGATATACAGTATATATATATATATATTTTTTTTTTTTCAAGTTTCAATAGTCCATAAAGCAGAGTCTTCCACTGGGAAACAAACAAAAAGAAAAGTAGGATTTGAACACCCTGGAAAAGAAATTGGAGGCCTTGTACGCATCAGAAAGCGTTCGTACCCATCAACAGGGACAAGTACTAGCCCGCCATCTCCCCGACCAAAAAAAAAAAAAAAAACCCAGTGCAAGATAAATTACGATACGGGACAGTCCCTTCAACCTTTTCATCGGTTCCTACCTGAAGTTGGAGTCGTGTTCGAGCCAGTTCCAGGGGTGCAGTGAGGAAACTTTGGGCAAGCCCACTAACGGCCCCTGCGATGAAATGCGATTCCAGGGCATCCGGGTTCGACATGTGTCGCAGCATGTTTCCGTAAGCCCCAAAGGCCACTGCATTAACCACTGCCATGCCCCCAAGGGGAAACGAGATCCCTTTGTACAACCCATGTAACTATACAAAAAATGAAAAGAAAAAAATATTACAAGAACACCGCTCTTCTTCAGAAATGAAACTTGCACGAAACCCAAAGCACTTTTCTAAGTTTCTCAGCTGCGCTTTTCTAAGTTTAGTCGATTCCTCACAAGAACCCGACGAACCACACGAATTACGAAGGAAAACACAATTTTCACTCAGAGAATTACGCTGAAAAACAGCCGAGTTTACGTCAATCAACTGCACTTTATCACATGGTATCACGCAGTTCCCGCACAAAGCACCGATGAAGCACGAAGATAATCACAATTTAATGATGTTCCTCACGACTCTTCACAAAATTGACCACAGTACTGCACAAAAAGTCTCTCACAGCGCACGAAACATCATCAGAGTCGGCAGGAAAATCGCGGATTTCGTGCAGAAAATACGAAGAACCGAACGCCAACACTCGAAAAAAAATCTCCGCAATTTTACCGATAGTATTCGGAAGAACTGACGAGGAATGCGCGGAATTCACCAGAATCACTGGAAAATGTTTCCACTCATATTTATTTCTTCAGTATATGTATACTCACGCCTTCCGTCTGAACAGTTTTCATGAAACAGTGCACTACTCCTCGGTATCTCGGATTGTGCGCATCCTGGGTTTGTAGACGAACCTTTCGCAGAAATTAAAAAAAAAGGATTAGTCGAACACTCCTTTCGAACGGGAAATATTTCACGTCAGTACCTTGAGTGTATCAAAAGGATGTCCGACTAGAACACTGGAAAAACCTGTCCCGAAGAAAGAACGAAGAAAGTACATCCGAAGTCAGTGAGCTCACTCTTAAGCACAAAGCTTCAATTCATCGTTTTTATAAAAAAATGTTTTGAAAAATTATTTCATACGCCAAAATGCATTCAAACAAGATCCTCAATGATGATTGAATAATTTTTGTTCTTTAGATCATGTATCTCCAAAAAAAAAGCAAAACTAAATTTTTACACCAGAACACGCATCACTTTTCGCAGTTTTGGGAGCCCGGATTTTCAACTACTCAAGTTTTCATGTCAATTTTTTTTAAGAGAAGGTATTCTCGAAGCTTAGAACAGATATTTCAAGGACGAAGAAATCGAGGGAAAAATAACATGATCAACGAACGTAGATTCAAAGGAAAGACAATTCATTTGCTTGAACGTGTCCGGAAGACCAAATAAGGGCGTTGCCCAATTACAAATGTGTTCATCTGAACACGACGCCGATACGATAAATCAAATTCTGCGAAAAAAAAAAAAAAACTCAGCTGGTGCACTTCTAGCGAAAAAGCATGATGTCATGAAAACACCAAAACAACAGCTCTGTTCACATCTTCGCATTTCAGGCGTCACGGCGAAGGAGACATGCTCATTCGTGATTCTCAAATATTATCAAGTGAATAATCACTTGTAATTGAAAAATGTCGAAACAATTCTTGGGCTTAATCACTTCACAATTTTACACCATCACATATGAGAAACGTTTTTTGAATTTCCAAAGCAAATGGAGGGATGAACCAAGACGCACTTTTCTTCAGAAGTCGCGTAGTTGAGACTTCATCTTAAGCGGACTTGCACGATCTCAAAAAATTCTCATGCGAGAAAACCTTAATTTTAAATGAAGATCAGGCAGTAGAGCACACGATTCAGAAAACCCCCATCATTCTGCGAGAGATGTTGCGTCTTGAAATTTTTTTCATTTACGAGAAAAGTCGAGAAGTAATCGTTCATCATCTCGCCACCTCGAATTTTCGAGAACCTTTGCTTCGTCGCAGTTGAAGCTTAGTTCTCATCTGATGATTCGAGTTGGTCAAAAGCCTTCACTTCACGTTCGAAAAATAGTCGAATCCGATTTTTCAAGGGGCCCATTCGCGAGAGAATGGTGCCTTCCAATCTAGCAAGAGTCCTCCCAATTTGGAAACAACAAAGCAGACTTTATCTCACGAGCTGTAAGAACTACAATAAACCTTTTGAAAGGTGAATCATTCTGAAAGAGCCTGGTTCCAGCGAGTTCTCATCCAGTCCCAACTCCCACAAGGTAAGCACGAACAAGGAAACATTCTCACCTCCAATGAATCCGGCGGCGAAGTCAACAGCCATCCTGAAATCGAAAGTTGGCACCCTCCAGAAGGAAGTAAGAAGACACTGCTAGATGCTCACTGACATGCAGCCCCCAGCACACTACTCTGAATAAAATCCAGTTCGCTCGGCAGCTAGCGAACAGCTAGCGAACGCGACGCTCGTTCATTTGAGGTGTTGAACCCCCGAAATCCCTGCGCGCCGCCATGACGGTGCACGCTTGCGACATCTATAGAGAGTTGGGTGACAGAGTGTCTCCACAACATGTGTGCCAGTTCTGTAATTTGAGAGATGATGAAAACACCATTTTGTTCTGTAAAGCCCTGTCTGCCACATTTTTCCCACCTTCATAGAGTGCAGTGTACCAATTGAGATAGGCTGTACCTTAAGGTTAGGGCTTCACTGATTATTACGTGAAATTGTGCTGGAAGTGGGAACCAAAATGTGGGCAATGCAGTCCCAAAATGGAAACCAATATTATGAAAGGATGAATGCCAGATAATTAATCCCAAAATCTTGTTTCCCCAATTTTTTGCAACAACTTGGCTCAAAATGTGATATTTTCCAGATTCTTTCTTCAAATAGTTACAAAGATTATTGAAGATCAAAAATTTCAAATGAATATGTGCCACATCAGGATGTAGATCTTGAATCATGTATACATGCCCGCTTGCAATATTTAGCTCAATGTTTCAAACATAATCAAAATATGTATGTTACTCTAAAAAATTGATACAGTAAAATCACAGTGCAACAAATGTCATTGAAAATGTCTGAGCACAAAACACTTTTTCTCAGGTCTCAGCACAAAGCCACTGTAGTGCACTTATAAAAATCTCATCATGCAAAACGTTTAATTTATATTTGGAATAACTTTTTTGCAGAATGTTTGACTACTTCTTGAAACATGGATGGAAGCTTTAAATGGATGAAAAACATATTTACAAGTGGTTACCCAGCAAAGAATGGGGGCGTTGGGCTGGGGACCATTTTGACATTGGCATTGGCAATGCCATTGCAGCGCCATTGTCTGAATGGGGCTGATTGCTCCCAACGCCCTTTGCTCTATTGACATTGGGTGAATGCAATGACAAGGCATTGGCAATGGCATTCTCCCAACATTGTGAGAAAGGGCATTTTGGAATTGGTGTTATCAGTGCATTGTCAATGCATATTCAAAATATAATTTAGAAAATTTGGGTGAGGCCATTTTTATTGACATTGCAGAACCCCTTGACAATGCATTGACAATGGCAAGCCATTTTCAGTGGCATTAGTGAATGCATTGAGAATGGGTCGACAATGGGGCAATTGATAATAGACAAATATATTTCAATTGAAAGGCACTATTGTAATGTTTTCAATATTTTTCACTAACAATTTCAAAATATTTCTAAAAGTATAATGCCTAGAATGAATAGATGTGTTATGTTCACAAGATCATCACAGTTGAACATGATGTTCACAGGGTTATGCAATCAAACATTCTGCTGTTTCAGCTCTGAAGAATTGTTATAAACTAATACAAAATATTGCAATGTGCAAAATTTTCCCCAAACTTTGAAGAACTATAAAAAGTTTGCTGATTAAGATAGGAGGGTGTTCAAAAAAACCAAAATGTTCCCCAAAATGAGGGCAATCCAAATTTCTCCTTGTATTGAATGATCATTGCTTGATGAATGCTTGATCAGCATGCAATGTACATTTGATCATCATGCAATCTTCAATTTGAACATCAAATGATGATCGAGTGTACGTTGCATGATGATCAAGCGTTTGTCAAGCAATGATTGTTCAATACAAGAAGAAATTTGGATTGCCCTCATTTTGGGGAAGATTTTGGTTTTTTTGAACACCATCCTATCTTGATTTGCAAACTTTTTACAGATCTTCACAGTTTTGGGTAATTTTCATGATAGATTTATTTTTCAACAGTATATAAAATTTCTTTTGAGCCAATTCCAGCTGCAAGAATAAGTTTGGTTCTGAATTTGTTACAGCAAATTAACATTGAACATCGCTGAAATGTTTCATTCATCAGCAGAATAGTTTTTACAAAAAAATATTGCTACAATTATTACATCAATAAAGCTGTGATTTTTTATTGATTGAATTGGAGGTGAGGATCATATAAAAATTAAATTCATGAACTCCTTTCTTACCACAAACATATTCCAGCTCCTGATTTTCTGAATGAATATTGAAATACCTCATTTAGTATAAGTAGCATACCTATTCACATTGGATCTAGCTTGTGAGTGCATAGTTAGATGTGAAGGTGACTGACTCTCACTCAGATGGCCCCAGTTCAAAACCCAGGAGCATAATCAGGACAACAGATTCAAAGCAAGGGAGATGAAGCAGCAGCAAAGAATATTGTGAACAAAAAGCACACATACAGAGTAAAGAAGAAAGAGACAAGAGTATAACACAAAGAAGGCAATATGAAGAAGTAAATAGCCTCAAGGGAATGGGGGATTTTTTTTTTTTAGGGCTGTCAGCAGACATTGGGGCAATATCATTGGAATCACCTTGGGAATGCGTTTGCCAATGGCAATTGAATGGTAGGCAATATTGCCCTTTTTCTATTGCCTCTCAGGCTCAACAGTTTCAACCCTGTTGGCAATGGGTCCCAAGCCCATTTCAAAATGCCCCCTGCCAACGTTAGGGGACAGAGCGTTGAGTAAAGACCAAGATGACATTTTCACAATGGTCTTGCCATAATGGCATGAGAACGCCCTCCCAACGCATTTTGCAACGTCCACATTATTTGCTGGGTATATACACATCATTCTCCCAAATTGAAATGGTGGTGCAACTGATGGAATGCATGATTGAAGCAAATTTTTGGTTGAGAGAATAACTGCTGTTTTCCTTAACAATGGTAAAAAAAACTCTGGTGTAATGTCAGAAAAGCTAGATTTAGTTGGCAATGAATAGTTCTGATATGAAAATCAATTCCAGCCATACACAAAAAAATCTCTCTATTGCATCATTCAGTAAGTAACATACTTTCAAAGAGTTGCAGAAAGTTTGCTGCACAACAATATTTACATGTTTTCAAGAAGCAAAATTTTCTCTTGCTTTGCACAAAAGCCCACCTGTTTTCATGACCTGTGAGTAAGTTGATAACACAATTTTAGAATCTGAACCTGGACAAGTACATTTGAAAATGCATTTTTTTGGGGTGAAATATTCAAAAATTTGCCAGTGAATCCATGTAAAATATTCCTGCATGAAAACTTTCATTTCCACCAGGGTTGACAAAAATATGACTTGGAATTCATAATTTTTCTTAGCTTGAAGTTTTTGATGCAAATGGAATTATTTAAATTGCTGCTGGAGCAGCCAACTCCAGTGTTCAATCAATTAATTCTGGTTTTACAGAATTTCAGTAGCCCTGTCTCAAGCCAAACTAGTGAAATGAAAAATCATACACAATGTCAACAAGTATGTAGACTGTACAATGAGACCCTGATATGCAGACATCCTGATATTCCTGACATACAGACAATTTGACTTGGGCACATTTGAAAACCCAAAAAAATCAGGCCCAACATCCAGACATTGGCTGAAGTTAGGGACAGTTTTCTGCAATTTTCCTAAAAAATCATAGTATTTGATATATCTTAAATCTTTCATAATTTTTTGAACAAATCAAGCTACTTATTTTCACAAAAATAGAAAATATATCATGATAAATTCACTCTGATCAAAAATCAAAAGCAAGCTGATTTTGTGCTTCTTTTAGAGTGTTTTTCATCATCTGTGCATATTCTTTCAAAACTAATTCTGTTTCTCTGTTTCTTGGTCTGCTTCTGATAGCAAAAAAAAGTTAATTGTGGTTCTGTTCTGGTCTGTTGTTTTTTACAACTTGAAGTTGAGGTTAAACATTTGTTTATTTGTTTTGTAGATTAATTCTAATTTTTGACAAAAGTGAACAATTGAATTCATCAGAATCTACCATGAGACTTCACTTACATTACATCAGGGCGCTCTTCTTAATGCTCCAATTACATCCACATCTTGGAGCCTCACTGTAAATGGGAAAGTTCAAAGAACACTTGCAGGTTCAAATTAATCTTCAAGATCCCAAGTGATTCAGACCAAACTTTTCCAATTACACTCAAGTAGTGCCACACACACACATAAACACTCAAAAGATTCCTCAAACCAGGAGTAAACCTTTCTGTGGTCAAGGAAACCACTGACTGAACCCCTGGCACAACTTCATCATTTGTTGGCAGATCCTGAATAAGTAAAAAGCCCGCCACGACCTACATTGGTGCTGCCATCAATAAACTCCTGACCTTGACAGAAATAGGGTGGCAATGAATTTCTGTCCACAACAATAACCCACCTACACAAAGTCTCAGCACAGCCACAATAACAGGAAGACATATGGGATGATTTCCCAGGGAATGGATTTTTCATCGATTTCATGTACAACACTGGAAAAAGTAGGTGAAGGCCACAATATGACCTGCTCTTACTTTATTTTTTATTTTTTGCAGACAGATAATTCTTTGGAGGTCATGTGACGCGGAAATGGCAAAAACGGGTGGTGTTAGTCATGAATAATTTGTTTCACACATGCAAGTACTCCCTTGACTGAAGGTTTGCTGAGACTATGAAAGAATTATTATCTGTGCAAGGAACTGAATAAATGATCAACATGGATTTTTCAGAAAGGCAGCCTGATTTTTTGATCATCACCTCAAGGATTTATATGCTGTGATTGACATATGAAGTTGACTTATTTTTTCTGTTTGGCTTTTCAAATGCAATTTCTCATCATCTTCAGCAGCTATTTGAATTCAGACAATACCCACATTTCTGGAAAATTTGAAAAGCTTCATTTTTGAAATTTGTACATTTCTTGACAAATTAAACAATTTCTGTCCAAAAATGAATTTTATCATAACTTCAATCTATTCCCCAAGCATAAACTGTATAAAGTTGCGTTATTCAATTCATTTTAATTTCAAATGACAATGTAAAAAATTTAGCAATGATTTGGATAAGTTTAGTTTACAGAGGTGAACCTCAAAGATGAACTATATGTACATTGTGGGTGCTTTTACAACATTTCTGAAAAAAATGAGGAAATTCTAATTTTATATATCTTGAACAAATTAAGCTATTTCTGATCACGAAAAGGTGATTTTTTATTATCATGAATT